GACTTTCATTATGCATCTAGAGGAAAGATAGCTGCAAAGTGCTCAAAGAGGAAGACATAAAATAACAAGTACATCTTTTCAAGTGGGGGTAGGTGGTTTCTTTTTTCTTTTCCAATTCAGGGTCTTACAAATCAAATCAGATTTAAAAAAAACCAACATGAAACAAACCAAGTAGCAACAACAACAAAACCCCAACCAACCAACCAAAAAACCCCACAGTTGTGCCTGGAAATCAAATCCCTGTTACGCAATTTAATGTTCTATTTACTCCTCACTCTGTTTCAGATTGTTACAGAGGAGTGTTTAAAAATGCTTCTGTCATTCTTTTTCCTACCCTCTGTTTTCGCTATTAAGACCTGCAGTTGCCCTTTGGTCTTTGAGCAGCAGCAGTCTGGGCAGTTTGGATTAGCAGTTTCATGTGTTAAACTTTGCTTGTAACAACATATAAGGATGGATCAATCCTAAAGGTGTTCAGCCTGAGGGGGTTTTTGTTTGTTTCTTGTGGACACTGCAGTGGTGTCCTGACCATGCCTGAAGTTGTTGTGCAAGCAATTAAATCACCTGACTGCATTCCTGGGGTCTTGGTCTCTCTTTCTTCATTCAACACTTTTTAATCTTTGATTATAACTGCCCTAGGTGTGGAGAAACCTCTGCATTGGATACCCCTTGATCATGTTTGTACCGTATTGTAAACCTCAAGCCTTTGGCTGACTTCTCCTTGGGCATCTTTCACCAAGCACCAAGTCTTCTGAGCTGTATCCCGCATGCAGGCTATGGGTGTATAGTCATTATCTTTGTTGCTAACAGCCACAGCATGGGCTGGGACAAGCATGCTGTGGGGCCTTAGTCTGCTCTCCTGACCCAGCACAGCCACCCAGTCTGCTGGCCAGGGAGTTGTCGTTCAGGTAGGGAAGTGCTGGTCTCTGCTGTTCCTCTCAATGGGCTGATCCTTGACATCACTGAGCCCCTGTCTTCCTCCTCTCTGCTTCTTTTTCTTGTCACATCAAGACTTTGTATTTCTGAATCATTGTTGAATTAATTTCTTTGCTATAACCCACTGCTAACTGGTATCAGCTCAGCAATCTTGCTGTGTTCTGGCTTTGGCTTTACTTAATCTTGCAGGCTGTCATAGCCTACACTCTCTCACACTCACAGGAGGTGATAACTACAGCTCATCACATTTCCCTCGGTAAATCAGGCTTGGGGATCACAATATTTTCTTGTTCTTATCTTGCAAGTTCAGGATATGTGCTACTTATAAAAGATGCACTAGAACACCCTCTGGCAGCCAGAGTCTGCATCACCCGCTTGCTCTAAACATCGACACTGAAAGGAAGAGCTTTTTACTACTTCTGCTGTTTAGTCCCACTATGCAGTATAGAGACACTTTGAAGGTGTGTGTCCCACCAAAACAAATGGTGCTGCTTTTGGAGACAGCCATCCAGTGCTGAATTTTTGGCCAAAGCAGCCTGAGTATTTTTAAAAGAAATCCTGTTAGATGTCATGGAATGATGAATGTAGCAAGGCAGTTGTACAGGGAGATCTGCTCAACACAGGCTGGTTAAAACAAAGCAAATAGGGAGGAGCAATTCAGTAACTCAGTGGAATCTTTGGTACTTAGAGTCCACTAATTTTAATGGATGTGCTAAGCTCTCAGGTGGTTCGGAGACTGCTTCAGCATTCAAGATCAGACTGTGCTTCAGAACAGGACTAAGAAAAGGTAGAGGTTGTGTGTTCTATGGAGTTTATTGTCGGATTACTGTGCACATGGAAGTGAGATACACGCCTGCTTGGGTCATCCATGAGGGCTGTGGGCTTCAGAGGTGCTGAGCTAGCAGATGTGGTGCACACTAGGAAAAGTGTATACTAACTCATCTCACACAGCTTCTGGCTTTCATCAGGTTCCTTCAGGAAATGTTGCAGCCTGTTAACCCATGGAAAAGTGGATAGTCTTCTGCCAAGTTCAGGACCTGAACCAGCTTGTGGTGTGATGCTGAGGGGACAGGAGCCAGTGACTGCAGTCTAGATAATGTATAAGTGAGATGTGTGGGTGCCCAAGACAGTTCTTACGCTTAATCAAGTGTTTGCATCTACAAAGAAGCATTCAGGCAGCTAAGAAAGATGTGGCAGCTGACTGTGGTACTTGGAGGTCTGTATCTACACAAAGAGCTGCCTGTAGTAGAGCACGGTCTTTGCTCATGAAATCCTGTGTCCCATCTCAGGCATACCAGTTATCTGTTGCTTTGGTCAAAATTCTCCTTGAGAGTTGAGGCAGGACAGCAGAAAGAAATAAAGCTGCACTATTACTTTGCCACATTGTTCCCAAGAACAAGCGGATGATGTTCATTTGTCCCAAGTCCCTTAACAGAGAGCCTGAGGACAGATTTCACAATCATAAAAATGCAATTAGTCCCCAGTGCTTTGGGGAAATATAATTTCTTTTCCCATATCTTCTTATTGGGGTCAGAGGGGAGAAGGGGAGGTTAATATATCTGAAAATAAAACATATGGCTCTGTCATTTTAAGAAGTCTGGTTTAGATAAGATTGTAGAGCAGCCCATCTCTTGTGCAGTACAAACAGCATTCATGCCAGGAGCAGTGGTAGAGAGCAAGCACAACACGTTTTCCCCAGTGTGTAATCTCTGCTAACAAAAATGAGTAGCTGTGATAGTAGTGGTTGAGAATCAGTTCTGCTTTCAGGCTGGTTTTGGTTTAGGTAACCACTGAAGCTGTTCAGGATTTGAGGCCTGCTCAGACAACAGTGACTTGGTGTCTCCCCACGGTCTCCTGCAAGAGCTTTGTTGGTGCAGGGGCACAGTTAACCTGGGTGTTGAAGCACGGCATCCAGAGAGGGCATCATGGATGGACATTGGCTCGTCTTTTGTGAAGACTTCATAGCCTTACCAAGAGCCCTGGGGTGGTGGGAAGGAGTGCATTTTACCCTCCAGCTGACTGGGAAGTTTGCTGTAGGTTTAAAGAGTTTCTTCCACCCTGGGAAATGTAGGGAAGACCCATCCTTGCAAGTAACCCAGAAGTCATAGACACTTTGTGTTAGTCCTCCATCTCAGCTGCTAACCTCAACCCACATCTGTCTGTGCTGCTGTCATGTCCATCTGCTGATGGTGACTGGGAACAGTAAGAACACTTGCCACAGTTGTGTCTCCTGTGGGACCCTTGGAATAATCTGAGTCTTTTTCTCCTTTACCCTCACTTAGATGCAAGATATCCTTCTAAGTGCGGAGATGTTTGAAAAGGGAACAGAAGAGCAGTCCCGGTTTATTCCTTGTTTCAGCCTACTCTCTTCTTGCTAAATATAGTTTCACACTTTTTAGTAGCTATATTATATAAGTTTTTCCACATTGACAAGTTCTGAGGTCACACAAATGAAGCCTTGGACCCACCACGGTTCCCACCTTCCATAGAAGATTGGTTCTAGATGCTGGCACTCTCCTTGTGAGTCTTTCACCCAGGAAAACTGATTTCTGCTTTCCTGTCCTCAGAAGGAGTTTAGCTTAAGAATACACTTGGAGAATGTGCCAGATGCTCATCTGGTTGGTCACCCCATCCCAAAGCAGTCTGAAGAGAGAGCTTGACCCATAAATAACAGCGCAATATGAAGAAATACATACTATATATACATGCAATAAATAACTGGTCATTGTGCGTTTTCCGGGGCTGTAATATACTTGCAGGTTTTAGATGTTTTGTAACCTCTACCAACAAGTCCCTCAGTGATGAACTCCTTATATACTTCATACATAATATTGTATGACATATTTTCCTGCTTCCCTAAATCAGGTGCTTGTCAGTAAGAGCTTGGGTTGGTTGTGTCTACCTTCCTCGTTGCTGTAGCAGTGTGTTTACAAGAGGTGTGCATGTTACCAACCTCTGCCAGGGAAGCTTTTGGGAAAACTCTTGTAGAGCAGCCAAGACTAGCACAACCGCTGCTGGAGTAATTGTTTGTGTGGTTTGGGTTTGGGTTTTTTTTTCTGGATTGGCTGCCAACATGGAGAACCAAGGGAAAGAATTCCGAGCAAAATTTCAATTTTTCTCCTTTTTTCTTTCCTTGACAAATTAAAAATTAGGAATATTTCATTTCACCAACCCCCTCAAGTGTTTCATTTCAGTTGTTAAGAAAAGCAAGGGAAATGAAGGCTTAGACTTCAAACAAAGTGCCTAGGGGATTTTCCCGTTTATCAGCTCAGGGAGTGGAGTACATATCCAGGATGGAGGAGACCCTTCTCCAGCTCTTTCCTCTGCTGGAGACCATTTGAACCTTCCCAGGAAGGTTTGCTAGGAGCAGGCTATTGTGTGGATGGAATTAGATGAAAAGTGAGTTGGAGGAGACACAGGCTGGATGTACAAACAAAAGTGAGCAAGGCTAAAAATCTACTTTTTTTGCTTTCAAGTAGCAGTTTGGAAAACGAAACTGGAAGATCTGCTTGTTTGTAATAGTTGGGAACACTGTTTGAAGGAAAGGTATCTACGTCAGTTTTGGATAATCTTGTCACAATGGGAATTCATGTCTCTGTATCTTAAAAGTCCAGTTTTCTTAGCACATATGTTAAGATGTACCTTTCCATGCACAGCATAAATTGCTGAGAGTGATGCAAACCTCTTGTTAGTTAGTTTAAGAAGTGCCACTAAATGGATGTATTCTTACTTGCTGTGGCTCTTGTCTGCCTCCAAATTAGCCTCTGAAAATGAATAAATCTCTTTTATATAACAGATATTTTAAGTTTCAGAGATTTCCTCTTGGCCTGAAGACTGGACCGGAATGCATCCTTGCAGCACTGTCTCAGCAGGTTTTGGTGACCAGGTGACCAGCAGCTTTTGAGCTGGTGTCAGGATGCTGAGTTGGCTGGGCCTTTGCTTTGAGCCTCCTGCTGAAGCCTCCAGTCTTCACGTTAAGTTCCCCTGTGTAGTGTTTGATGGAATGTGCTCAATACTACCCTTGTGTACCAGTCTAAATTGCTGTCATCTCTGTGTTCTGACTGCAGATCGTTAGATGGCCGGCTCCAGGTGTCTCACCGGAAGGGTCTTCCCCATGTGATCTACTGCCGGCTGTGGAGATGGCCAGACCTTCATAGCCACCATGAGCTGCGGGCCATGGAGATGTGCGAGTATGCCTTTAACATGAAGAAGGATGAAGTCTGTGTGAATCCTTACCATTACCAAAGAGTGGAAACCCCAGGTACTGCTGGCCCCGGGTGCAGCTTCTCAGTACCAGCATAAGGGATTTATAAGTGTATTTCAAAATTGAATAAAGCAGCAGGCGTAGGGTTTTAAAGCCAAAGTGTATTTATTATTGATGCTAATCTCTTACTGTATGCAGCAGAATAATTTATGAATCTGCACTCAAGGGGAAAATATCATTTTAAATCGATAAAATCCAAGTAGAGCAGGTTGCACTGTTGTCAGGTTCCTAATGCGGCATTCATTGTGCACGCAAACAACTCACACACGTAGTAGATACAAGTATGAGCTGTGACAGTGTTGTATGTATCCCTAAGTGTTGGTATTAAATTAAGGGTAAACTTAATTTTAAGTTGAAGTGGATCTAAGAGTAGCTCCCAGCACAACTGAACATCCTGTTCTGAAGCCTCCTCCTGCCTCTGAGAGAGACTTTCATCTGGAACTGCAGATACTTCTGCTGCGTGTTGGTGCAAATCTGCAGAACCAGTCTGGATGTTTATGCTAATGCTACCTTGCTGTTTCATTTTGTGTGAAATTTATTCCTTTGGAATCATGTGGTATAACTTCTAAATGGGTTTTCAAGATGACCAGTTTCTTCGCCTTAGAAGGGGTAGACAGACTAGGTGTGCTCAGAGAAGCACGTATCCCATCCCCAGCTGAGGGATGTTAAGAATAGCATCTTTAACTGCTGCTATTTCAGAAGCAACTATCAAATTGTGTCCTTTAATTAGCGACTTAGGTGTTGCATGTATTTAAGGGTGTTACTCCAAACTGGTTTCTCTTCATTTTCTAGGGTTTCAGTCATTTTATTTTAAAGCTGGTCTGCTTTTTTTCCTTTCCATTTGTGCAGTGTTACCTCCAGTGCTGGTGCCTCGGCACACAGAGATCCCAGCTGAGTTCCCGCCGTTAGATGATTATAGCCATTCTATTCCAGAGAACACTAACTTCCCAGCAGGTATCGAGCCACAGAGCAACTACATTCCAGGTACCATATATCTTCCATACAGCGAGCAGAGGGAAAAGGGTTGTATTGCACAGTGAATCGTATCTATATATGCCAGTCTGGATGATTGGAAAGCCTTTCTTTCCATCGTTACTATGAAACTAAGGAGTGGGAACCTGTACAAAAATAGATGAAGGCTGTAAATGTAGACACACAGCAGTGCTGTTTATGGTTTTGTTTTCTTTAAACTCACCTCTTCAGTAGCACATGCTCTATTGATTGTGGAATATGAAGCTGAATGTTCCCTCTGCATGGTTAGGTTTGAATGAAATTCAGCCATTTTAGTTTGAGTAAAACTAAATTTCTGATGAAATTGAGCTCTTCTATTTATGTATCTCTTTTACAAGCAATTTACACCTTATTTGCATGGACAAGCTATGCAGCTGCACACCAGGAGAGGGAAAATATGTGGACAAATACTGTCTGCAGGGCTTAAAGTTTGATGGGATTGAAAATCCGGATTTTTTTGTTTCCCTCTCAGTTATTCACATATATGCTATGACTGTCATCCTGGCTGTGCCAGCTCCTCCTTTCAGCAGCTTGAGGAAGAAACATACTAAAAAAGAAATTTAGCTCCTTGTGAATAGCAAAGTCAATGTTTTTGGTGTCTAAAATCCAGACTTTGCATCCAGTTGCAATAACAGTATGATCATTTTGTGCTTCTAGAGACACCCCCTCCAGGCTATTTGAGTGAGGATGGAGAAACAAGTGACCACCAGATGAACCCCAGCATGGATGCAGGTAAGTCATGTTTTGCCATTTGCTGCAGCTTTCTAGGTCATAGCAGAGACACTGAAAGTTTTCCTTTGGGGTACTGAAGATCTGACGGTGATTTGAGGTTTTTATCCTGGTAGGAGTGCAAATGTAGCCTGACATCTCATGTAAAGCACATGGGAATAACTGTTGAAAGCCTCTTCTTGATCTGGGATTTGCTCCTAAGAACCGCTGAATTGGACCCTGAATTCTTACAGCTTACGCTTGAAAACCAAAACCACACCCTTGGTTAGAAAGGCTAATGCTTTACAAGAGGGTTATGCAAATACATGGCACTTACACAGAGACAGACATGCAGAACCTAATTAATGCAAATACTGCACACAAATATCTTGGTTTCTGTGCATGTCTTCAGCCGTAGAGCATACGTGGGATTCTAAAAGAGGCATGAATGATTTGCAGTCTTTCACCACACTTACACAGATGGAGGAAGGCACTGTGGGTTTGTTTTTCTACATCAAACATAAGCCTATTGGGACAATCCATTTTAGTGCATACAATTATTGGTAATGTGGTTGACATTTGGAATATATGTATGGCTTTTTGGAAAGTGGACTGGAGTAGGACTGGCCTGGGAGATGTCATAAATACCCAGTTTAAGTTTGAATGCTATATCCCTTCCTTCAGATGTCATGGACTTTGTAGAAAAACAAATTTTAAAGAAACCAGCAAAACTCAGTGTGAGAGGAAAAGCAGAAATGGGCTGTACCACCTGTGTGCTTCCATGTGGCATCCAGAGGCTGTGGAAGCTGCTCTGGACATCCAAGTGCAGATACCTGAAACACACGCACAGGATTTGTGGACCAAACTGAAATGATTTAGGATAAAATTCTGGCAGTTGTTTGGTCACAGCTGTGTATCTTGATCCAATCCTCCATGTTCCCTAGACCAGTAAGATTTGTTGATATAAATTTTTGGTGGTTATGAGTATGTTTTGTGCCTAGTAATGTAAAATCACGCTGTTAAATGCCCAACTAACTGTAGCTGTCATGATGGAACCTGGAGCTTTGATCACTGCCAGTAAAACAGACAACTGCCTGCTCAGTTTTGAAAATTAATGGGTTAAGCTTAAGAGAAGGCATCATGAAGATGCTTAGCAATATTGCAGATGTAGCAAGCTGATAGAAGTAATAGCATTTGAAAGCTCAAGTAATCAACATCACAGGAGCTGCTGGTGTCACAAAATGAGTCTTAAGTGAGAAGTGGGTTATCCCTCCAACAAGCCCAGGCAGAGCTGAGCATTTGGTGGAAGTGTTTTCCCTTGTGCAGATGCTGTACCAATAATTACAATGTCTTGATTTTCAGGTTCTCCAAACTTATCACCAAACCCTATGTCTCCAGCACACAATAATCTGGGTAAGCGTGTGATCTTGAGAACGGTGTGTAATTACAGTCAAGGTAGTGACATTTTAATGATGATGTTGTGCACTTTTGCTGGGGTTGTGAGCATTGTTGATGTTCCTTTCCACTTATCCTTTTCACCGTGATAACAGTGATTCATAGTAACTCTAGACAAAATACAGAAATCTGAACTTACATCAGACTTAAATAAAAACCCAAGAAATGCTGGCAGACAAATACCAGAATGTGTGAAGGATTACAGCAAAAATACACTCATTTGATTACATGGGTTTGCAAGGAATATGTCCATCTGTTTTGCTGGTGATTTTGTGTTCTCCCAACAAAACTATGAGTGCTGGGATCATGTCAGACAACAGAGTACATCTACCTTAGGGTCATCCCTACACCACACAGGGATAAAGCAGCCCAGAGCCTTCATGTCCCAGTGCCCTAAACCACTGGAAGAACTGGCCCAGTTATGCAAGTTGTTATAGTATGAAATCGAGCATGGACTGAGCAGAGCAAAGTGGAGGTAGCTGCTGTGTGTTTGGAGAGTCCACATAAATGGAGGGAAGGTAGGAATGCTGGTGTATGGAGAAGCATAGGTGTCACGGACAGCCTTATTTGAGCATTAGAGGTGTTTGTGGAGTCTTATGCTCAAATGAGCCTGGAACCAGGCCTTTACCTTTGCGGTACTATTAGAGGTTTTATGGTTATTTCTGAACCTCTGCTGCTGTCTCACATGGCTCTGCCCTTTATTTTCATACCTACAGACATAAAACGTCTGATCTTCATCAGTTTGAGCTCTTACCCTATCTGCAATTGCTCTCAACAGTCTGTCATAAAAAGCACTCACAGTTCTGGCTAGCTGCAGGATCAGTTCTCTAAATGTTCATTAAGCCAGCAGACAGAGGCCACTTGAGATTACTCTTGAATAACCGTAGCCATAAAGTTTACATATGCTTTTAATCCTGGCACGGAGTACTTTGACATTGCTCCAGAATTTGTCAGTCATTGGCTGACTTGTGGATATCTTGGGGCTGTTGAAGAGGGGATTTCTTTTCTTCTTTTTTTTGCCCTTTTTTTCTTTTCTTTTGAAGCATGGGATATATTGCCACAGTGCCACTAAATTTTTACTTGCTTTAGCTGTTAAAGCCTAAAAAGAGAATACATGGCTGGCTTATTTTTATCTCCTTTTTTCTTTTTGGTTGAATGTGCTGCCTGGGAGTTGGGGAGAATTTCTAGTAATCTCTTTTCAACCTCAAAGTAAAAAGCCCATTATATGTCACAAAACCAACCTGGCAAGTTGATTGTGGCATCTGCCTTACATAAGGAAGAAAGGAGTTTCTAGGAAAGAGGCCCCAACATGTGTCTTCTAAGGAGGACACTAGTTACTAACTCATGCTGCTCAGTGGATGGGCCTGTCGGATGCCTAATGTGCTGTCTGGTGACAAAACCTAAGGAGGAGCAGGTGAAGCTGGTTAACCACAAAGAACCTCTTTGTAAGTCTAAGCAGCAGACATCAGAAAAGCATTTTACCTTCCCAACATTAAGATACCTTGAAGTTTTGCAAATCAAATATTTATTGCTTTTAGGCAAGAGCTTCCATAAATGGAGAACTTCTTGTCTCTTAAAGATTTTGTCAGGTTTTGCATGTGAGGAAGCTACAAAATAGTAAATGAAGGGGCATGAAGCTGAGCCACTGTTAAAACTGTCAGCTGACGAAATTGTCATCATTTCCCTCTCTGCTCTTGTGAGATCTCCCCTGGAGCACTGCATTCAGCTCTTGGGGCCCACAACACAAGAGGGACATGGAACTGTTGGCGCAAGTCCAGAGGAGGCCACGGAGATGCTGCGAGGGCTGGAGCAACCCTGACCTGGAGCCAGGCTGAGAGAGCTGGGCTGGGTCAGCCTGGAGAAGAGAAGGCTCCTGAAGGGGAGACCTTAGGATAGCTCCAGTGCCTAAAGGGGCTATAGGAAACCTGGAGAGGGGCTTTGGCCAAGGGCCTGCCGGGACAGGGCAAGCGGAATGGCTTTAACCTGCCAAAGGGGAGACTGAGATGAGCTCTTAGGCAGAAGCTCTTCCCTGTGAGGGTGCTGAGGCACAGGCACAGGGTGCCGAGAGAAGCTGTGGCTGCCCCATCCCTGGCAGTGCTCAAGGCCAGGTTGGACGCAGGGACTTGGAGCAAGCTGCTCTAGTGGAAGGGGTCCCTGCCTGTGGCAGGGGTTGGAACTGGATGCTGATGGCCTGCAGTGCTCCTGCTTTTGCTGCACTATAGAATTCTGTGGATTAGCAGAACGCTCCAGTGTCTAGGATGGTACTTTGATCTGCAGAAGTTTAATCAGGCTTTCTCTGTGTGTTTGTGGAGAAAATGAAATAGAAGTTCATAGAATAGAATTAATAGAATAGAAACAACACAACAGTGTGCAATGAGGATAATAAGCAGCAACTTCCCAGCAGCAGTGCAGTATTGCCTTAAAGAAAATAGTATCACCGTATTGATGTCCATTTATTTGACCAGAACTTCGTGAACCTTTTAAGACAGTTTACTTAGTGTAAGCTGAACTTTGGACTTAAATCCTATGGCCATATTCCAGAGCATTACAGAGGCAATGAACTTGGGCCAAACCAAGTAGGACAATGGAAGCAAGGTTTCTTTGAGGAGCAATATATGTATTTCAGCACAAAGCTGTAAGACTGTAGCAGGGGATTGAAGGAACTCAGGGAGTTTCATCTTTCCATTCACAGGCACAAAAGTGTTGCAAGGTAACATATTGGGATTTATTTTTTTCCTTCTTTCAGCTCATGCTGTCAAATTCTCTGTTGTCAAACATAAGCTTTAAATGGAAGTTACAGATATCCAGTGATCTCCTCTGTATCACTGAAATACGAACTGGAGAAGATACAGAAAACAACCAAAATGAAAGGAGAGTTGCCAGCATTATGTGGACATTTGGGATGAAGTCAGGGAGTTGACACTGGCCAAGGGCCAAGCCTGTGGTTGCAGGCACATTGTTATTTTGGAGTGAGGCAGTCCCTTGGTGTACAGGAAATCCATTGTCAGTGTTTGCTCCGCAAAAGACTTGACGCAAAAGCTGTAAGTGAAATAAGCACATCCCCTACGGTCAAATCCATCAGGAACATAAGCCTCTGTTCCTCTCTGTGTTGAAACACAATTTCCCAAAGCAGAGAGCAGACAGCCCTTCTCAGAGTGTGTAGAGGGGAAGAGAGCATGTACACCTATTCATCTTTTGTCCCGAGGGAGTTAGAATTAATGTGCCTGCAACTAATCCAGTTGGATAACACAGATCAGTAACTTCGAATGTGTATCAAAAGCACTGGCTGAAATGAGAACCACCACTCTTCTGCTTAGAGCACACACTGCAGCCAGTGATTTTTTTCCTCCACAGCTGAATGAGATGACTTTTGAAGGTCCCTTCGAACCCAAACTATTCTGTGTTTCTAGGAGTAGATAGTACTTTTGTCTTGTAGGGAAGATGCAATATGGGGAGCATCCCAATACTCAGTGGACACTTGTGAAAGCAAAGCTGTAGTTGAGCCAAAGTTGAAATTGTATGGAGATCACTCAGGCAGGCTTTGCATAGGTTTAATGCATCATGTTTTGTTTGATTGTATACCCCCTCAGGATTCTTTGGCTTTAGCAGAGCTACATTGTCTTACTTTTCCCCAAACAGTAAATCCATAAACTGAACATGAATATTCAGCACAGCTCTTACACAAGAGGAAACATGCCCATCCCCTGACAGCTTAAGCTGAAGCCTCAGCCCACAAATCACAGCAGAAAGCAGCATCATTAAAAGCTTGGCTGCATTTTTTCAGAGGCCAGGTTTTCTTCAAAATAGGATTTGTTGGTTTGTGTCTTTCCTCAAGTTGCAAATAAGCCGGAAATAACATTTCCGTACATCCTTCAGTGGGGAATCCGCAGTTCCCTTGAGGGGCAAGCAAGCGGAGGTGGTTTCTGAAGGCCAGGACCACGAAACCATAAAGAGCAATAAGGGCCTCAGTGGTTTTATGACTTAAATAGGACCAATCTGAGGACATAATTTAAGGATTGTTAGGATTAAAAAGAGTTGATGTGATTTTTCTGGAGCTGGGCAGCCTTTCAATGAGAAAGGCTCTTGCTGTGGAGTAAGAGCACAGTCCTGTGGAGCACAGTCTATTTTCTTAACTGGGTGGATGCACCTTAAGAGACCAATGTCAGTGCTGGTATTTGCTGGACCTCTAATCAAATTGCACTGGAGTCATGTGAAGCCCAGAGTCATTTATGATGTGCACAGGGCCCCAGCCGCTAATGGATGAATTAAAGCTGCTGTTGGAGAAGTATGCCTGATGGGGCCATTTCCAGTGGGAAAACTGCATGTGAAAAAAGGCAGAGACAGTAAACTTAGAGGCTGGTTTGGGTTCAAGGGACCTTAAAGCTCATCCAGTTCCAACCTCCTGCCACAAGCAGGGACACCTTCCACTACACCAGGTTGCTCAAAGCCCCGTGTCCAGTATGATATCATTCAGCATACCAGGAGAGGGACTTGCTTTAAGCTGTGAAGTTGTTTAAAGTGGGACAATCTGCTCACCAGATCTCTTAAGTTGCTGTAGAGACCCCTGTTGTATTGAGCTGCCTTCTGTTAGCTTTCACTTTGAGCGCGATGTCCTTTTTCCATAAGAGGAAGATATGTTGTTTCTTTTGTGGGCGTAATGTGTGGAGGAGAGCAAGAACACGGGGCTTTGCTTGTGATAGAGCATATTCTTTTAAATGATATAATTAGGAAAGAGAGAGATTGTGAAAGGTGTGGGGAATAAGCTTCAAAATTCACAGACTTTGAAGCTCTGCTAAGGGTTCCAGAGTTCTCCAGAATGCAGGTCTATTGAGTTCCTTATTTGCTGCCAGCAAAGCTTCTAACAAAGCAGAAACCAAAGGGTTTTTTTCTGATTATTCGCTACTTTGGGAACTCGTACACCACCGTACAGAGAGGAAACCGACATGTCTTTTGGCTGCTTCAGCCTGCTTCTAAAGGAGTAACAGCAGGTACTAGATGAGAAATGACTCTCAAACCTCTGTCGAGACACTCTCCTCAGGGTGAGAGGAAGCTGGGATGGTAAAAACCTGTCTTTGATTTTTTTTGGAGCTGATCTCTTAAGCCCCAGATTCTCCTGAGCCTTGCAGGAGCAACAGATGGGAAAGCCTATGGAAAAACCTGGGGTTTGCTGCGTGATGTTAACTCTCTGGCCAGATGGGAAGCTGTTCTCTTCTGCTTTTAAGCACCATGTGAATGGGGATGAAGTGATAAGCTGGGAGGAGGACTGGAGGGAATTCTCTTGCTTTTGTTTCTTGCACTGAATGAGAGGAATGGAGCACTTATCAGCACAGTCTGCTCTCTGCTTCCTCTGCTCAGCAGATTCTTGGCTTGCAGCCGGACTGGGCATCATCTACTGCAGTATTTCCAAGAAATTTGACTTGAGCCTTCCTCTGCTGAAACCACATTGGCTTCAGTGGGAGCAGTTAAATCATTTGATGCTATTTGAATGTCCCACCTTTCTGGCATATGAAGTATTATCTTCCTGAGACTTCTTCAGCCTCAGCTCACGAACTTCAGTCCACAGGCTGACTCAAACCTTAACCCCAACAAAAGAGATGTGCCATCATCTATTGAGGAAATGGATTTTCTGTTGTTAATTTGAGATCAAGTGCAGTGGTAGAAAGTATCTAAGTTTTACATCACTTTAATGCTCATATTACATACAATTTGGTGCATATTTCAGACAACTCTACTAGTTTCTCCAGTGCCAGAGAGATCATAGAGTCAATAAGAATGAAAGCTGGACTTGCTGCTTGGTTTAAGTGCACAGCAAAAGGGTTCAGGAGACCTGTGTGAGTGAAAGCAGGTTGTGATCTGCTCTTTCTAAGGCTTTCTGGTCCTTCCTTTTCTCTCCTTTTCTCCATTTAGGGTACTGGCTATCTAAAAGTGATCCCACATTTCATAGGAAAGCTAACTTTATTTTTACATTCTCTCCAAGTAAGAAGATAGTTAAGTGACACCTCGCTTGCTAAGTGACTAATACCTTCAATGGTATTTGTTCCGTGTGCCAAAAGCTCCAGAGCGATGTAACTTTCTAGCTGCGGTCCATTAAAATCTGTCAAGTAATTAAAGTTTGGTGATTAAAGTGAGCCCAAGGAATGAGGCAGAACAGTAGCTTTTTTCATCCTCCCCCTTCCCCTCCTGAGGGCCTGTGATTCATTTTGCTGCTTCTTTTGTGCAGATCTGCAGCCTGTTACCTACTGCGAGCCGGCGTTCTGGTGCTCCATATCCTACTATGAACTCAACCAGCGAGTGGGAGAGACTTTCCACGCCTCTCAGCCCTCTATGACCGTGGATGGTTTCACTGATCCATCTAACTCTGAACGTTTCTGCCTTGGTTTACTGTCCAACGTGAACAGAAACGCAGCAGTGGAGCTCACAAGACGACACATTGGTAATAGCTGTTTCCTTGGGTCAGTCGGTGTCTTTCAAGGTGGAGGGTGGAGACCTGCATGTAAAGCTTTTTAATTAGCTAATTGGCACGCACCTTGCTCAGTTTTAGAACACTGCATGTAACAGAAACAGAGATTAAACTCTTACGTGCACTCTCCTGTCTTTGGATGGATGTTAGTGGTGATCTTGTGAATTCCTTTTCACCTTGCACTATTTTATTTTCTACCTGACTGTTTCTTTTATAAATGGAAACCTAGTTCCTTGATTTTCATCTCAATTCCCACTTCTCCTCCTTACACTTCAAGGTAATGTTCAATTTCGTTTTCAGTTGAACTTGCACTAAATAGAATATCCCATATTTATGCTGGTTAAATAAAAAGCAAAATTGCTTATGCTTTGCTGCATTTTCTGCTGACTTCTATTAAAAATGAACTTGCTTTTTATCCTTATCTTGCTGCCCTTCGTACCCTTTCCTGAGCAGTAAGCTTCATACAGGAAGATCTGTCCTTACATCTTTCTAATATGACTTCTAGCACCAAAAAAAAACCCAACCTCCAAAAAACCTCACCAAGATTCAGAACTCAGTCTTTAAATTCAGCAGGCTCCTTAGCTTTATGGAAGAGTGAAAGCAAGATACTAAAATAGGAATGTAAGACCACAGCAAGTGTTTATTTGAGCAACAAAGATGTCTTGGTGAAATTTGTTTCTTTATTAATTGAGATTTTAATAATTTGTGCAAACTCCTATGGGAAATGTATGTTTGTCCTTGTATACAGTGTCATCTCAAGCGAGAGGCAATGGCTTGAAAACGTATAATTTAATTCCAAATCACTAACTAAATAAGCAAACAGTTGTATCCAGCTGCGATGACTTTCAGAAAAGGCTGAAAACCATATGTTAACTGATAGAATGTTCATCTGGAAAGTATCAGACACATCTCTGTTTGGAGTAAGCAGTCTGTGAGGTGGTAAATGCATGCAGGCTGGCTGTGATTGACAGTGGGGCCAGAGGGTGCAATTCTGACTTTATAAATTGGTCCTCCTGCCTTCCTCAGCTCAACCCGCTCACAAAGCAGATTTATTGCTCCCTAGTGAGAGTTCAGCTGTGCTTTGAGAGCTGCCTCATGCCGAGGTGTCTACATCTCTACCAGCTCTTCTTGCAGACGATTGTTTCGAGCAAAACCAAAACTGTGCTCTGTGTTTCCTAGGAAGAGGAGTAAGACTCTACTACATCGGTGGTGAAGTGTTTGCTGAGTGCCTTAGTGACAGTGCCATTTTTGTCCAGTCTCCCAACTGCAACCAACGCTATGGCTGGCACCCAGCAACAGTTTGCAAGATTCCACCAGGTAAGGAAGGATGCCTTGTCTGTGATCCCACGCAGGCCTCACCTTTTGCAGATGGGGCCTTGCTATGGAAAGCAAGCTCTTGGTGAAGGTGGGCGTGGGTTTGCTGACCTCTGTTCTCGGCAATAATCAGAAACCTTTTTTACCCTGTTATAAGCAGCCTGACAACTCGAGCAGGTCATTTTTTATAGCAAGAATGAAGTACTGATAAAAGAAGCTACTACATACGCTCCAGTAATGGTTTTGCACTACGTGCAGGCAGGAAGAAACAGTACTCCAGCATCTAAGCAGAACTAAGAGCAGAATCTGCCATTTGTCCATGCAGTGTTTTATCAACCTGTTACTGTGTTATGGGAGCCATGCTTATAATTCGGTTTGCACCTTTAAGTGAAAGTATATAATGTAAGAATTTTTCCTTAATGCAGATTCACCCATAACAAATCTAAATTGATACTTTTGTGTAGTAAAACTTACCCCATCCTTTCTGAATTAGATTCATTCTAAGGAAATCACTTTTGTAGGCACCTCGTTGTTCTGGTTACAGCAAACATCTGTCTAAAGTAAGCTGGAAGATTACAAGAGAATTTATTGCATCTATCCAGAAAGAAAATACTTGTTTTGTTAGATACATTCAAAAGAGTTAGTATGAGAGGTTGCCATTTGAAATGGAATTTAGCTGGGCTTACAGAAGCTGATTTCTTTACAGTTGAAAGCATGTGTGTATTTAAAAACTAAACATTTTTGTTTCAAAATACTTGAATAAAGATAGTCTTTCTTTTGAGATCCACGCACTGCAAGCTCTGGCCCATCTGAAAGGGTTTCCTTTCTCAGATGCTTAGGAAGCAGCTGCCAGTGTTGCAAACATGACTTAATTCTCCAGCCACATCACAGGAGTCCACCCGGGCTGGAGTCAACATTTGAAGACATAAACAACCCACATTTCCGCTGCACATTCATCTAAGGCACATGTTTTGGATTCCAGCTCTCCCTTCTTTTGCCACCTTCTCAGACTCATCTTCAAATCTCTGCTGGGTTTGAAGCAGTTTCTTCATTGCCTTGTTGACAGGATGGAGTTGTACCTGCTCCTCCTAGGCACAGTCCTGGAGGAACCTGTTTCCAGCCAGTCCTGGAGTCTGAACAGCTTGGCAGACAGATCCTCATCAAGTTTTATGCTTTCTTTGCAATAGCTCTGTGCTCAGTCCAACCCCAATGCTCTCACCCTTCTTATTTCCCCACCTTAGTCTCCAGTATGCCTGACACAGCATCCCTTCAAACCCTCTGCAAGATACATGGTTCTTGGGCTGTGCTTTTTTATGGTCACAGAGATGGCTGGTTGTTTCTGCAGCTGCTGAGCTATTGCATGTGGTTACACTTTGGTATATGCAGTTCGACCCAAAACAGATGACAGTATGAGTCCAGCCCAAGAGAGTAGGCTCAGAAGTGATTTTAGCAAAATACAATTCATCACAGTCCAAATAGTTGTTTTTCAGACTTGGCCCATATGTGATCCCAAATGAGCATTAGTTGTGTGCCAAATCTTGGAGTTTAACTTGTTTGTGGTTATCTGGGAGAAAGCAAGAGTAGCATTGCTTTTTTTAAGAGTTGTGTATTTATTTGTGTGCTTAAACCGTGAGGGATGTTTTATTTCACCTTTATCACCTCAAAACTGTTGGATCATAAAATCCCAGGCTGGTTTGTGTTGGAAGTGACCTTAAAGCTCACCCAGCTCCAACCCCTGCCACAGGAAGGGACCCCTTCCACTGGAGCAGCTTGCTCCAACCCCTGTGTCCAACCTGGCCTTGAACACTGCCAGGGATGGGGCAGCCACAGCTTCTCTGGGCACCCTGTGCCAGCGCCTCAGCACCCTCACAGGGAAGAGCTTCTGCCTAAGAGCTCATCTCAGTCTCCCCTCTGGCAGGTTAAAGCCATTCCCCTTGGCCTTGTAAAAAATCCTTCTCCAGCTTTGTTGTCAGCCCCTTTAGGTACTGGGAGGCTGTTGAATAACTTGGTCTCAGTCTTTTAGCTGAGTCTGAACACTGGGGAAAAACTCCAATTTTAAAGGAAGTTTCTTTGGCATTTGATAAATTTAGGAGAGAATTACAGCGGAAGCAGCTCTGCTGTCAGCCTTTTTAACCCTGGTAGCAGGTTTCTGGCTTGTCAGAGCAGTTTCACATCAGAACTTCTCCATTACTTCTGCTGATGGCCCCCATGTAAATCCAACACCAGTGAGTTCCTGGTTTGAGCCTGTGCATTCCTTTCTTTTCAGGCCCTGTAGCAATTGCTGTTGCGAAGTCTTATGGTCACAGTTAGGCTTTTAAATTACAATATGAGGGAAATGATTGTAAAGGAGATAGAAGGAGGTTCCATATGCAGATCCCAAGTCTGGTCTCATAGATCACAATCTGCTGTGTGGGCTCTAGCATTCATCAGTCTCTGTCTAACATGGTTTTCTTCCTTTTGAGCATATGAGCTGTGGAAATGTGGCAACCTTGATTCCTGTTTCTGAAATGCTGTGTTTAAACAGTCTGTGTACAGTATCACATGGTCTGAGGATATGGGAGAGCAGCACGGAGTTTCTTTCCATCCTCAGAGATGGCTTTGTTAATCTGGTTAAGCTGATGCCTTGTTCCTGTCATGTCCTTTTCTTGCAGGATGTAACCTGAAGATTTTTAACAACCAGGAATTCGCCGCTCTCTTGGCTCAGTCTGTGAATCAGGGCTTTGAAGCTGTGTACCAGCTGACCAGGATGTGCACGATCCGGATGAGCTTTGTCAAGGGATGGGGAGCAGAATACAGGTGAGGCATTATGAATGAAGCTCTTGTGCTTGCTGCTGCCACCCCTGGGTTCCACAGCCTAGGACAACGTCCTGCAAAGCTGCTTCACTCAGCTTTTAGGTGGGGAGAAATTAGCACAGCGTCTCTTCAGTAATGCAGATCCTGGAATCATGGAATGGTTTGAGTTGGAAGGGACTTTAAAGCTCATCCAGTTCCAACCCCTGCCATTGGCAGGGACACCTTCCACTAGAGCAGGTTGCTGCAAGCCCCTGTGTCCAACCTGTCCTTGAACACTGCCAGGCATGGGGCAGCCACAGCTTCTCTGGGCAACCGGTATCTCGCCACCCGCATAGTAAAGAGTCATGCCATACAGCGGGGAAGACCACATGTATTTAGTCACAGTGTTCTACAAACCAAGAGCTTTACCTGAAGCACAGCAGATAAATCCAGGTGGCCTCTACAGGAACTATTACATTGGACTTTCTTAAAATTAGATGTATATTTGCTAGTTTGAGTGTCTTACAACTACACTGTTATTAGGCAGGATCAGTGTGAATGCTTCCTAATAGATATGGCTTGGGTTTGATGCTTCCTTTATCAGGAACTAATGGGATTAAAGTAAAAGCAGATTGGCTTGAAAATACATATATATGGAAGAACCGTTAGAGTTGCTGCACAATTATAGTTAAATCTCCTCATCCTTTCCTTAGTGCTTGTCATAGGGCAGTTGCTTCATTGTGACCAGAGGCAGCGGGATAAACAGGGTTACAGTTTTTCTCAGTGAATACTGAAGATAAGAAGATGTAGTAGGGTCTGGTGGTTATTCTGACAGTATGGGGGACAGGGGGGGCAGTGCAGTGGATGAGTACTCCATAGCTGGTGTTGCTGTCGCTCCTCTGCATTAGCAAGCCAGTGTCCCTAGGTAGCAAAAGGAGTGAAATCAGCGTTTAATATTACAAGCAGGAGAGATGAAATTCGTTGGAAAATTAATGTTTTTTTATGAGAGCTGGCAGAGATTTCAGCCAAATGTGATTTGAAATACTCACTTGAGCGTGTACCCTGTAAACCTGTGGCCTTCCTTGAAGATCCAGGGGCAGCCCCTGCCTCCCGGAGCCACAGGGCTGTCTGCCCGTGCTCCCCTTGCACGGACGCTGGAGTATCAGCTGGAGCCTGCGCCCTGCACGTTACTCTCCTGCTTTCTTCATTTCTCCAGATGTTTGGAGTCCATTTTGTTTTGAAATTGTCCTGCACCCGGGCCAGAGCGTTGAGCCCTGGCTCGCAGCCACGCTCCTAATGAAACCCAGATGAGCATGACTTACGGAAAGTCAACTATCTCATTAGAGTAGTGGAGTCAGTGAAACCCTACGCTCACGCTGACCGCGCCGAAGCTGCTCTCTTGCTCCTTCATTTCCTTGCCACAAAATACTACATCTGATTGCCTTTGTCAGAGCACGTTTGCTTGTTGAACCGATTCATATATGAGAACGGTACTGCAGGAGCGGCATCCAGAGCGCTGTTCCAGTGATTTCTGGTTCAGCTCTTTGGCCTTTGGAGGAGTGGAACTGGTGGGGTGTTCAGTGCTGGGGTGTGCCAGGGATTTGGTGGAGGGAAGTGGGGGAAACCAATTGCACAAGCAGCCTGTGATACAGACGTTGTCCTCTGTGCAGTGAGAGGCCACAAGCTGAAGGCATGGATGGGGAGCTTTGAGGGTTTGCCTTGTGGAAAGGCTGGAGTCAGTAGGGGTCACCTTGGTGGGAAGGTAGAGCGAAGCTGCCATGGTATATTTGCAGAGGGCAGAAGGGCAGCAGCCCCATGGGCAGTGGGTCTCTGTATGGTGTTGCCAGGATTGTTGGATGGCTCACACTGGTTTCAGGCAGCAAAGGGGAATGCCCTGTGCTACATTAAGGGAGCCTAGTTTTACCTGGGAGCTCTGTGTGCTTTGCTGACAGAGCGAGAGGTGCTTTGCTCCCTGTCCTGCGGTCCTCCTGCCCAAACAGCCCGTGAGACACCCTTTAATGTAGAACACTTCACCACATGAAGTGGCTGCATACGGCAGGCTCCTGGGCACGGCCTGAGCGGGAATGGGTGGGGTGCATCAGGGATCTGCTTCCATCCTCAGTTCAAAGGAGGAGAGCTGCAGATTCAGCAGCAGAATGGGTCACAGCCCTTGGCCAAAGCCCTGCAGAGCTGTGCCCGGAGCCCAGGAAGGAGCAGGGGTGGTGGTGGGAGCCCAGAGCAGCCCCATGAGGCAGAGGGTCCCCTTTGCAGCAGCGGTTTCTCCCTGGGCCCCGCAGGCTTTGCCTTCTCCCTCCCACAGGCAGATTCCAAGGACAGCTTCTGTGGGAAGTGAGGGTGTAAACCAAGGCTGTTTGCAGGCTGGTTCTCTCTCTTTGTAATCTTCCTCCTCCACAGCAGCTGTCCCTGCCTCTCCGCATGGAACAAGGCTTAGGCCATCCCTCGGCAGAGGAGGGAGAGCCCCATGCCCTGTGCCTTGGCCTCCCTTCCTTCCCATCCCTCCCTGCTTTACCATCTGGAGACACTCCCTGGGGTCCGGCCTCAGGGAGAGTGACAGGAGAGGGGGAATGTGCTTTGTGGCAGGGGATGTGCAGTGCCCCAGCAGTGCATCCCCCTCTACTCTCCAGCCACAGCCACCAACTCTGGAGGGATTTTAAAACACGTTTTAATGGCACATCCCTGCTTTTCTGAGAGGGTTTGCAACCTTCTACACTCAGCCGCACTTCTGCTTCTTTCAAGGCAGCCGAGCAAGCACAGGTCTGTTGGAGAGCCCGTGCACAGCACGCGTAGGGTAGGGTTCAACCTCCAGCAAGCAGAGCTGTGCAAAGAGGCTGCTCAGCAGCAGCTCCAAGTGCACAGGGGCTGCAGGGGAGAGTCCGAAAGGTTGCCTGGGGATGATGTCTCCATCACTTCCACATCCTGCCAGAACCTGCAGATACGGTAAAATAGAGTAGCCTTGGCTTATCCATAGAGAAACTGAAGTTACTTGGTAACCTGCATACGTTGCTACCTAATCAGGAGAGGGAAAATGAGGTCTGTAAAAGAAAACTTAAGAACTGTGCTTAGGTAAACACCTTCCATTCCATTCAGGGGATCCGATGCTGCCTGCTTTCAGGAATCTGAGTAGTAAATAGGCTGTGTAGTGAGCTGCTCCTTTGGGATCGTAGGAAATGTAAAGAGAAAAGGTAGGGGTTTTAAAAGCAGCTGGCAGTGTAGGCCAGAAGCGTGTTACAGAGGAGAGAGACATTCCTTTGGCCTCACATGCACGACTATTGTCTAAGCAGGAAAGAATGCTCCAGTAGCTGTAAAACCTCTTCACATTGGTAAAGTTCTGTTCCTTTTTTCTTCTTCTCTCCCCCAACCCCTTCTTTCTGGCAGGCGGCAGACTGTGACCAGTACTCCCTGCTGGATTGAACTGCACCTCAACGGTCCCTTGCAGTGGCTGGACAAAGTCCTCACACAAATGGGCTCCCCGAGCATTCGTTGTTCCAGTGTCTCCTAAGGAAACATCTCCTGGGGATGGGTGGGGGGAGCAAAGACTGGAAAATGGAATTGGCTTAACCCTTAGTTAAACACTCAGTGAACGGATTCCCGGTTATCGAAGTGATGTGAAAAACAATCTGCTAAAAAGAAAGTGGGTTTTGTTCTATTTTGTTTTTACAGTTACCCATTTAAGCCACTTCCACTGAACCCATTAGCACTTTGGTGCCAGCGCTCTGGGCCTTTGCAGTTACAATTTGAGGCTGAAGGGGGTTGGAACTAGATGATCTTAAGGCCCTTTCCAGCCCTAACTATTTTGTGATTCTATGATGAAGAACTGGACTTTGTTTCAGCAGAGAGGAGGCCGTGCTGTGTCTCCAGCACCCACTCCGTGCCGCTGTGAGCACATGGGAGCCACAGAGGAAACTTCCCATTTGCCTCACACAGTCCAGGCTCGTGTCATGCAGCACCTCTGAAAAGCCAGGCACCGTGGGACTTTGGGATGAGTCTTGCTTGTCCGTTCCCATCACCATCCACCTGATCTACGCCTGTCCTCCCTGGGATTGCAGCAGGAGGGGGAAAAAGAAGTGTTTGAAGCACACACAAGAACTAATTCCCCCAATAATGCTCCCAAAAGGAACGAATTTCCCACACTGGACTGCTAACAAGGAGGCAGAGTCTTGTTCGGTGCCTGAGAGATGCAGCTGATACCCTGATGGCCTCAGGCTGGATTGATGTGAAGCAAAAGAAGCCAGACTGAAGGCTCCTCTGATATTGCTGCAGCGATGTTTGACTTGAGCTGCTCATAGGCAGATGTTTGTCACATGGACAGCTCTGCATGGCCAAGTTAAGCCTTTGTTACCCTGCAGTCTGTGTGCATTAACCACCAAAAGTCTGTAATTCTGTTTTCTCAGTCTGTTGGATGGGATCTGCCACTTCTGGAGACGCTGGGGCTTCGTGACTCCAGTGTCCAGGTCTGCTCTAGTGATGGAAGTGAACAGACCCTCGCGGCTGCTTTCAGCAGTCGCAGTTGTCCTGTGCTGTCACATGGGACTGCACGTGAACCAGGACATCTCAGACACAACCCCCTTGTGTTTAGAACGTATTTCAGCTGATTCCAACGCTCTGAGATGTGCTTTTGCCTGGAGAAATTGGGAGAGAGTGTATTTACTTGTATTATAAAACGTTCATTTTAAACAGACATGCTCCAGACTGATATTTTTTCCCTGCAGCAACTGTCATGGCAGACAACTCCACAACTGGAAAAAGACCAACTCTTAGCACTTGTTTTTATGGTTCACATTTGCCAAATAAGTCTCATAACTTTGTCAGTGCTATCTCATTATCTGTTTCTTTATATCTGCATTGAGTATCCTACGCATTTGTGCCAAACTATTAGAAGGGGGAGGGAAGAAAGTGATAATCAGTTTCCTATGGAAATCTTCTTTGCCTTTTTTGGTTTTATACATGAAAGGCAAACACAGGAGCTGGATCCGGCTCTGGGAAGGACAGACCCGGATGGACATTGTGTTCAGGCTTTAGTCCTGTTGTGCTCCCAGATGCAAAACCAAGCAGCACCACCGAGTTCAGCAGCAGTTTTCCTGCAGCGCCAGGTTGTGGTTGCAGCCCCAGAGCACCGAGGTCCCACATGGGTGCAGACTGCAGAAGCATTTCAAACACCCATCAGGAATTCCCAAGTACCTGTAGAGGCTTTTCCTTCAGGACCACTCTGATACCAACCCTGCTGCCTGGTCTGCAAAAAACCCATCACTCTTGGACCTGAGCATCAGCAAAACAGGGCACGAGGTGCCCCGTGTTGAGCAGACCCAGGAACAGACCATCCACGAGGCTCTCTGCTGGTGTTTGTTCCACCAGGCACACCAAGGGATGCTGTGCAGAGATTTCTTCTGGAAACAAGCAACATTTTGTACATGGAATTGAAATTCCAAGGAAGACACGCGGTGGTGGATGGGCTCCTGAACCATCCAGGAATATCCTCTTGTGAAATTTGGACTGGGAGCTCTCACTGTGCCATAGGGCTTGTATGATAGCGTTGGAGGTTCTCTAGGACTTTTACTGTTTCAAGCTTTTGCATTGTGTCCGATTTTAGTTAAATCTCTGATTGCATGGACTTGTGCAATAAGAGCAGCTGTATAAAATAAGTGTTTTCTGGCCACTTAAACAGTAGGTCGTTGTTGAGGATGGATTTGGCATAGTCTTTCAGATGCAGGTTTCTAACATAGTTGCAAACACAAATATATCCTTGCTTTTGTGGAAGTATCTGACTTTGAGAAGAGATTTAGTGGGAGAGGGGGAAAGATGTGCTATGTAAGGTGGCCCTAGGTTTCCTCCCTGAGTGTCTTTAAAGTTGTATTTGCTCATTTTAGCCAGCAGTTTTCATTGTCCACATAATCAGGGAGGAAGTTGGACCCTGTGGAGCCTTGTGCAGTAGCAACAGAAATGACATCTTGATTCCAGTGTGAGCTGATGGTGTGCACAGGAACCTGGCCTGGCCCAGAGGCTGCAAGCTGGAATAAACCCTGACTGTAGCACAAAGCCCAAGTAAGATTTGGGCCTGGATTTCTGGTAGGAACCAGATTTGTATCTTCTACTTGATAAAGGATAATTAATGGCTGTTACTAACAGCTGCCTTTTGAAAAATGGGATTTGGGTTGTGCATGAAGATTTTGGTTAATCTCACCTCATCATCCCCTAAAAGTAAAATGACTTCAGATGGAAAATGGAAGCTGGTCTAGCAGCAGTTAGATAAAATGGAGAGGATTATCTGCACTGAAATACCAGTTTCCTCCCCTCCCCTTTGTTTGCCTTCTCAGTAATTCATAAAAGCTTTACGGTTTCTAAAGTTACCTTATAAAGTCAGAGGGAAAGTCCTGGACCATGCAAAGAGAGAGGCTGGGGCAGGGCTGGGATCCAGGGGATGGTGTGGTCGAGCTTGCTTTGATGTTGCACAGCTGAAAAGGATGGGGCAGATGAAAGCAAATTCCCCTTCAGATGTGAAACCTGCTCAGTCGCGCTGCTGGCCAGGACACTAACGGGAGGGGAGAGGCAGCGTTCAGCTGGAGATGACGGCGGGTTTCCCTGTTTTCCTAAAACTCTCTGGAAGTAGCTCTGGTATGTAGCACAAACGTATGCAGTCAGCCACGGCCTCGCTTAGATTCCATTCCTGTACTGGAAAATCTTCTCATTTTTAGTGGTAGTCTTGGCTAGTTTTGCCGTATTTCGTACATTTTTGTTACTAGGAGAGTCACTAGCAGGAACTTGGGCTCTTAACTTGGCGTAGCCACACACAGGGGCCTGGCTGCTGGCAGATGACACTGATGGCCTTGTTGTTCTGTTTTGGGTTTTTTATTATTAATGTATTGAACTGAGTTTCAGTTTGTATTTTGCGTTCAGCTTAGGAGTAACCCAGTGCTGTCCATTTGATTTCATCTCCAGGAATCAGCATGGCTGTGTACAAAGGTGGAGGAATCTAATTGAAACTGATCTCCCCAAGGCTCTGGCTACCCCTCCCTGCCATGAAAAGGCTGGGGGTGACCTTGGAGAAGGAATCACAGAGAAGTTAAATTTCTTCTCCCCTTAAGGATCAGCATAGTGTGAACCACAGAGTCCTTTGCAGGGTGAAGAACACCCAGCAAGTGTGGACACAGAGCCTTGTCCTACTTACTAGCTGGGAGAGCACAGGGAGAAAGAGCAGCACAGCTCAGTGAAGGACTGCAGCCGCATCACAACACACCGTGAGCTTCCCAGGTCTCTAAGGTACTGGATAGGGAGGAGGAATGGGATTTCACAAATAAGCTGGTAAGCTAGAATGAGAAATACTTAGTCACTATCGTAGCTGATTGAGCGGTATGGTTAAGAAGTTCAGTAGATGTTTTTATCATGTACGTGCTTTTGTATTTATGTGGTCCTTCTGGAACATTCAGATGAATCAGATATTTAATTTTGAACAGAAAGGGCAAACAGGGACTCAGAATTGAACCTTTCAGATGTTCCTTTCTGGTGATTGCTGGAAATTAGGCAGTTCGATGTGAGAGTAAGATTCCCTCAGACCTGAGCAGCAAACCCTGGTGACTAGAGCAGAGCAAGGACTTCCCCAGCAGGAGCCTTCACCCCAGATGCTGTTGTAGCTTTTAACACCTAGCCAGGTTCCAGAGTTGTGCTCTGCAGGTCTGCTCTGATGTATGAGGCTTTAAAAGACAATGAGGAATTACTCCATAAATGTTTTTGGTTCATCTTCCATTTCCTCCTGTGCGTGGCTACTGGAGGAGCCTGCAGCAGTCCCTGCTGCTCACTCTCCCCATGGCAGCATCCCACTTTCCTCCTTTGATAGATATGTACGAGCATGTTTGCATTAGTTTAGACTTAACCCGAGATGGTATGTTAACGGGCAGTGATGCCTCCTACGTGCTTTAGCTTGTTGCGCATTATCACCTATTTTGTTACTAAAGGCCTGTACTATGTATGCCCTCCTCTTTCCTACATGAAACTGTAAGTTCTATTTTTGACATTTTAATAAACTTTGATTGGAAAACGGAGCTCATGACAAAGTAACAGTGTTGTGACAATGTATTTAAGGACACAGTTGGAGTTCTGAAGCCACAGGTAATTCAGAGGCAGCAGCACCTTTAGGTGTGTGTAACGGAGGTTGTTCCCAGTAATCCATGTGAGATCTCAGTTACAGGTAAGAGCTTTGTTCTTCTTACAGTTTGGATGGTTTTGTTTAAGAAGTTAGAGCCAGATTTGAAAAAGTAATTAAAAATACAACTAGTTCTTTTAACTAATGGGATTCGAAGGCAGTTCCAAGCCATGGAATGTCCAGGGAAGCAGCTGTTCCAGTGGAAGGCAGGTCAGGTGCCACAGCATTCGGCTGGCCTCAGAGAGAGCACTCCCCAAACCCCATCACTGCTGGAGCCAAGGTGCACGGTGATCTAATTCCGTGAGCTCCCAACGTTCCTCGTTGTGTTTCACTCAGGGAGTTTTCTGTTGTTTTCCTGACGGGATTTACGAGAATACTTTTTCCATTCACTTCTCCAACAATGCAGTCATAAACAGGTCTCGTCCAGGTTTTGTACTGGCGTGGCCAGAACTCAAGTGTGATGCAGTAAATCAGCTCTGAGCTGCGAGCTCTGCTCG